CACAATATTACAATTTCAATTGTATTCTTCATTTCACTTGTTTGTGTTTGCTCGCTTGCATGCCCTGCATAGCTATAATAAATACTTAAGTTGTTGGTCAAGACACTTTCCATCTGATGAAGGCAAATGCCTTCCCAGATGTAAAAAAGTAGAAAACATTACATGCAGTTATAACTGCCAAAACAAACATTATTTACGCTATTATGGCCCCTGTTGAAAATGTTCGTAATGTTAGTAAGTTGGTCGAAGGAATGCCTCCTCATCCAGAAGCTGACTGAGCAGACCCGAGCAGCCGAGTGCATCCGCGAAGCACACACAATGGCGACGTCAGAGTTCCCGTTAGCAAGCAAATCTAAATCTCTTCGGTCAAAATGTCCCGTCAAAATAATTTCCCTTTAGCGCAATACCGCTTCAGTTGCGCCACTTATGTGACAGACAAGAAGAGTGTGTGACAGACAAGAATAGTCAATTCTAATGTCTAACGCTTAATGTGGAGAAAGAGATGTGCTGTATGGGTTGATTGTGCGTTGATCTGTTGCTAATGCCTCGGGTTTCCGGTGGGCATGTAAACAAATGCATAATGCTGCACTATACTTTGTGGCCTCACCCAGTTGCATAGCGACACTTATTGTTTAGGTCACGGTGTCTTTTAATAAGCAGGTAGTCATATCATTAGCTAGAACTAGCTGGATCTGATCGATATGGACATAAACGCGAGTGAAGTCTAATCTGACGGGACAGAGAGATCAGCTGCTGCTGACGAGTCGACACGCAGCTCTGCATGATCACATGCAGCAGTGAGCGGAACAAAACACACACTTCAGGTTAGAATATCACACGTAGCTATTTTAATTACCTCTCAAACTACCTAAACTAGTTATAGATATGTTTAGTTTTACTGTCGGGTCACTCATTACTGGATCCGCGAGCTGCATGATACTGGTATAATAGATTGCCCAATCGGGCAACCAGCAGGTGAGGCTTCATTGCCCAATCGGGCAACCAGCAGGTGAGGCTTCATTGTCCAATCGGGCAACCAGCAGGTGAGGCTTCATTGCCCAATCGGGCAACCAGCAGGTGAGGCTTCATTGCCCGATCGGGCAACCAGCAGGTGAGGCTTCATTGCCCGAGCTAAATACTAGATGGCCCCGGGCCATCGGGCAGTCCTTAATGTCGAGCCCTGTATATAAGTAAAGCATTTTAGTTTTGATGTTAGTAGCAATATAATGTTAAATCAACTACAAAATGTTAAATAGCTTGAGTGACCTTTTTTAAATAATGATTGTTAAGAATGAATATTAACTGTTAGTGCTGCTTTCTGTACCTTTTATCTCTCTCACACAACACACACACACACACACACACACACACACACACAATCGCTTATATTAGTTTTTTATCAATACCGTAGATAGATAAGCACATTTCCATTTTTCACTATTCGAAGCCTCATATATCATTGTCCTCCTTGCCATGGTGTTCCATTGTTGCCCAAAACAAGTCAAACACATCAGTGGGACAAACTGTTGTGCAACATAACCATGAACACACACACACACTAGTTTATTAACCCTCGATACACACTTCACGGTTTGGTTTGTACGTTGGTGTTGGGAACATGGTTGCGTATTTATTTTTAGAAGAACATGAAAAATGGAATGTCCACGAGTATGGGGGTTATTCCCTATCTTTATTCAAGAGCGTGGTCTTTAAATTTGAGAGCATAATTGATTGATTTCACGTTCAGAATATGTATTTCTTTCCCTCAAACCCTGTCCTCGCACTCAAATAGTGCCTGCTTGCGCTTAGATTTGCTCTGCTTCTGCTCAAGCTTTACGCTTGCACTCAGATAAATTGCTGCTTGCACAGATTTCCTGTGTTCCAGCTTTAAACCTTCTCCTCTCACTCAGGCTGTTTCTGTGAGCTGGTCAAATGTCTGCTCTCAGATTTCTGCTCTGCGTGCTTGGATTTGTTGTGCAACAACCCTGCCAAAATGGGGGTAGTTTCACTAGTAGGTGGCTACTGAGTCTAACAGGATCAATCTCACGAATAACTAATGGAAAGAAAAAATAATTCCCTCATCAAATTTAGCAGAAGTGGCTTGATGTTGTTCTCAGCAGGGGACTTTGACAGAATATTTCTTCTGTCAGGAGCTCCAACAAGCCGTTTAGGACAGAGAGTGAATACACATACTTTACAGAGATGCTGTATGAGAAACCAATGTGAGTTTGGAACATTGAACAATGTAATTCTAGTAGACCTCAACAATGGAATTATGATCAGTAGAAATGGCCATGACATGGGACCTTTTAAAGAAAATGTTTAAATTGTAAGAATAATATCCTTCTCTTCTTACTATATGATGATACATTGAAAAGATTTGGGTCATATGATAAGCCAACTAATATTATATAATGAATACAAATGTCAAATGCAGTTATATTAATGTTTTAATCATTGACGTTTTGTTTATTCATGTGTTCTCCTCTCGTGTATTAGCCGGAGCACAGCTGCCCCCCCCACACAACTTGAACGTTATCTCCATGAACACCAACTACACCCTGATCTGGGACTGGGACCAAGGCTCTGCAGAGAGTTGCGCCGTCAACTTCACCACACACTATGTGGCGTAAGTCTCACACGCCACACATGCATGAGCAAGAGGAAGCAGGCACACTGAGTTTGTGATGAAAATATCCACTTTGAGTCAGAGTGATTAACCTGTGAGGCTTTACTTTGACATCATCTCCTCTAAGAGAACTCATCCTGTTTAAACATTTAGGTTATTAGAACCAAGATGGTAGTTTTAAAATAGTTTTGTTTTTTGTTAGTAAGATTGATGTTTTAAGGTGTTTCTTTGCTTCAGAAGTGATGTGACTCAAGTTTTCCACTATCTGGGGCCAGCAATATTGTGGACTAAACATTTCCCATTGGAGTCAGCTGACACTGCTGTGTGTAAGGCTGAGAGGCAGGATGTGACCATCAGAGAGTTCAGACACTGCCTTGGGCGTTAGAGCTAGGAAAGATGGTCATTTCATTTTGGATTTGACACTTTCCACAGGTTTGTTTTCCTGCTGATAATATCCTTTATGTGTAACACTGTAGTGGTTTTGTATGCGTTGATATTCTTTACAATGACCATCACAGCCTTACTGAGACTATAGTGTGTGTTTGAGAAATGAAGGAGAATCCACACCACAGAAAAAAACTACAAGTATTTCCTGGTAAACATCGGGAATACATTGGAGTATAGTCAGCAGGTTCTCATGCTTGAGTTGAGAATAAGAAAATAAAGTTAGTGCAAATTGTGGATGATGATCACATTTTAATTATCATTGATTCATTAGTATGTGCAATTTCCAAAATGTGTTTCATATGTGAGGTTCTTCTCTTGTGCAATGTTAGACATAAATACAGATTTACAATAGAATTGTGCAATTCCACAAAACATAAACTAGCTTATCGTTTGCTTCAATTCATTTTCAATTAAGGCTGTCTAGTTGTTTTCAGTTGAGAATGATACAAATGTTTTGTTTCTCTTCCCTTCAGGAAGTTCATGCTGAGGTCTAAGAAAAAGAGTCCGAACTGGAACACAGGGTGTGAGACGACGTCACATAGGTCATGTGACCTTACAAATAAGAATCTGTTCTACCTGGGCATCTACGTGTTTCGTGTGCGAGCCAGTGTGAACGGGACTGACTCTGATTGGGCGACGATGGATTTCTGCCCTGATGAAGAGGGTGAGAGAAACGATGAGGAGAAAAGGAGTGGGGGAGGGCAGGCGAGGGGCAGGGAGAGGGACAATCAGTCCTCCCTGTATACCAGTGGTGTATTGTAACTAAGTACATTTACTCAAGTACTGTGCTTGTGTAAAAACAAATCTAGGTATTTTCACATTATGCTGCTTTATAGTTTCACTCCAATACATTTATTTTACACATCAGGTTTATTTGCAGTTACTTCATAGTTAAATCAACACACAATATAATATATTATTATAGGTTAAGCTACCCAGTAGTATGTCAATTCATTCAAATAAACCCGCCATTTTGCATAATGAGTACTTTTACTTTTAGCCCTTACTATTTTTCAATGCTAATACTTTTTTCCTTTTACTTAAGTACAATTTTGAATGCAGTATATGATCTCAGGTGTAGCATCACAAACCATCAACAGTAAGAAAAACATGCTCTGACAGGATAGAGGAGGGTACGACCACAGAGTGATGTTCAGAGAGCTGTGGCTGACATGTGAGGAAAGGTAACCTCTGCATTGTGTTTTGAGAAAGCCGCTCTGAACTATCAAACCACAGTGAGAGACGTCAGTTAAGTTTATCTCCTTCACGTTTTACACAGCTTCACCAACCTTAGAAAATCACACAGGCAGACATAACTGGAGGTGCAGGTTCAAACTCACACTGCCATAGAGGAGCTCAGATTGAGTTGAGTCTCAAAATGATTAAATACTATGAAAGATGTATAGAAACCCACACAATAGTAAACAAGTTTTTTTGATGGCTCACGCTAAAAAAAAAACGCAGTAAGACTGTGGGCGTCTCCAAACTGACCTACTTGTAGTTCATGTAGGTCAGCAAGGCAACATGCAAAAAACTAAAGCTGAGGCAAGTAAAACATAGTTATAGGGTGTTGTGATTCATTGGTTCACTCTAAAGCTGGATCACAATGTGACACCAGCATCTGAACACATCCTGAAACAACCGTCATAGTTCAATTCAACCAGTGTATGACCTATTTCCTACTGAAATGCCAATAAGTTGCCTTGGGCTGTGTCATTTGAATTTGTCTGGCTCCGAAGAGTGCACAAGTCTCTTTATTTGTTTAATCGTCTAGAAAATGATCATTGTCAATCTAATCAATTATTAAAACAATCGTAATACAAAATGTTACAAAGTATTTTTAAAATATTCTTTTAAATGTTTATCCAAAGAAAGTCATAGAAGATGCATAAATTGTATATTTAGCTATATTTTAGAAGATGGTAAAGGGGCTGTATGTATAAAGCCCCTTTCAAGTAACCACCTGCCCATAGGAATGCATGCACTCACACACATTTGGCATTACAACTGGGAGCAAGTCATTGGGGCTCAGTATCTTGACTTCAGGGCCCAGGTATCGGCCTGACTCTTGATACTTCCTAAGCCACAGCCTTCCGATGCATATCACATTGAAACCCAAACCTCTTCAGCACCCGCCTCTTCTCCAACCAGTGAAATGCTTTATCTGGATCCAGTGCATTACACTATGGGAAAGGACTGGGGTCCTTAATGATCCTGATCTGACCGGGTGAAATAATATTAGGGAGGGATAGGGCTGAAACTGACTATTGTTTCGCTTATCAATGAATGTGTCAAACATAGGACTCGATACATGTTTTTGTTTGTAAGATGTTGGAGGAAATAGCAGCACAACTCTTAGTTCCCTGTTGATGTGTTCAAATGTCTGACCAACAGTCTAAAACACAAATATATTCAGATAAATGTTATATAAGAAAAAGAAAAGCAGCAGGTCCTCCCTTCAGAAACTGTACCCTACAAATGTGGTTTGGTAAAGCAACTATTAATTAGTTATCAAAATCATGGTAGTCCATATATTTGTTGTGACTAGGCCTGTCAATCAATTTCAATATTTAATCGCGATTGTTCGCATGTTGTCCATAGTTAACTCACGATTCACCCAGATTCATCGCAAATTATACTCATATTTTTTATCTGTTTTGAATTTACCTTTTTAATGGGATAATTAAATTAAAGACAAATTAAATTGAACTTAATTTAACTAACTTAAACTTAAGAACAATCTTGAGGTACAGCACTTCAGCTGAGTACTTACATTTCATGCTATTTTCTACTTCTACGCCACCACATTTTAGAAGCCAATACTGAACCACACTTATCTGGCAGCTTTATTTACTTAAAAGATTGAGATTATTAGCTAATATAAATGAAATAATGAAAAGATATTGATATGTAATTATTGGTTAAGAGATCCAGCAGCAGTATACAAAGTAGTGAAAATTAGCTCCATCTTCTTGTTCTTCTTCTGTGTACAGTTAATATAAATCTTCTTTTTGATGATGAAACACGATGTTAGTGCTATGGCAGCTGGAGAAATACAAAGCCCCTGAACTATCCATTCCTCTCTCCTGCTAGCTGCTCTGGGTCCTCCAAGCAAAGTGGCTCTGTCTCCTGAAGGCAGAAACCTGGACATTGTGATCTCGGACCCTCTGTCCAGCACCAACCGCTCCATGAGGGAGCATCATGAGGATCTGTACTTCCACATCCGGTACTGGGAACGCTCTGCAGACGGTCAGGTTAGGAGCTCACCTCACACCCCTCCGACAAATAGTTGGCCCAACCAGACTATATTTATTTGTAATACCAAAATAATTAGAATCCAAAAGTCCTCAAACTTCAACTTGTTGCTGTTGATGTAGCTGTTGATGTTGGGACCAGAAGCCTGTTGTTCTGTGAAGACTCTCATACAGTTTCAACCGTACAGATCTACAGACACATATTACAGCAGAAGAAAAAGCAACAGTATTCACACTTCCCATTTTCTGATCAGTCCCCAAAGACACCTGGTGAAACCTGAGGCTCACAGCGAGCCGCAGTGAGCACCTGCTCTCTGCTCCGTGCGTTCAGACGGTGTTGCTGTTTTTGGTTTCACTCGTGCCCTCTCTGTGGAGCAGGGGCTTCCTGTCTTTGCCATAAGGCAGTGAATGACAGAATAAGCGTCTGGCGCTTTGATGTCTTGCAAGCTGCTTGCATATGAAACTGGTTAGAAGATGAGGTGATTACGTCTTAAAATAACCCAGAGCTAAAGAGAATGCCAAAATGTTTGGATAAAGGCCACAGCATACGAGCTGCATGAGCTGCATAGAGACGATACACCGTATATTGCCATACAGTATGCCCTAAGGCAAACCAGTACTCTACTAGACATTTTATGAAGCTAAATAGGTGCATTATACAGGGTTCGTACGGGTGCTTGAAATCCTTGAAAATGCTTGAATTTTTACGAGGTGTTTTCATGACTTGAAAAGTGCTTGAATTTTGGGAATGGTGCTTGGATTTGAGATAAAGTGCTTGAAATTGTAAATGCTTTACTTTTACAATAAATTGCTGTCTGACTGAATAGTTCGCTTTTTAGATTAAAAGAAAATAA